GAACGTACTGTGTCGCCCGTTTGATGTGCCAGTGCTGGACCGCTGTGTAAAAGAGCGCGTTTACTTCTCCGCTGTTTTCTTGTCGCTCTTGTCTTGTCAGTTAGAAAAGCAAACTGCATGCAGTTTGCTTTTCAGCCAAACTGTATACAGTTAAATCGAACGGACTTGTTTGTGCAGATGTGAGCGTCCTTAACAACGGTCAATAAGTGCTTGACAGCGGTCTGTCTGTTCGGTATTAACAACGTGTCACGTGTTCTGAATTGACCAATCAGAATCGAGTATTCAACTAAGCCATGTAATAAACGTACTTAAAAGTACTCTTGAGTATAAGTAGGAAGTAGCATAAAATAATCAATAATATAAATTCCTTTCGGGGACTTCAGGTGGTCAATCCGTCCTTCCCGAACCCACGGAGGAGGCTGCGGCTGCGGGACCTGGCAGAGAGGGTGATCGACGCTCAGGAGAACGAGCAGGAGCTCAACAAGCTGCTGAACGAGGCTCTGCTGGAGAGAGAGACCGTGCAGGCGTGAGTATCCTGTCATCATACAATATCAGTATCCCTGTGACTGTGCTGTTCACACTGTAAGAAACCCCAAAACATCTCTGTCCAATTAGGCGGTTTATAAGGATTATAAGAATGACCAGACGATGATACATGTTGTTCTTTGTTTGAATGATTGGTTGCTAAGGTCCCATTTATGTTCGTATGCGAAGTAAAGTTTGATAGCTGTGTGCGCCCAAATTTGACTTTGTTCAACACAATGCGTGTTAAGTGAAGTAAACTGCATCAGTGTTCAACGGTGTGAACCATTTTGGGGCATGAGATGACCCAAAACAAAACTGTAACATGTGTGATGTTATACCAATATTTGACATTTGATCTAATGCCGAGGCTCTCTTGTGTTCAGTCTGAAGGGGAAACACACCAACAGGCTCTCCCTGAGGTTTGTAGATCCGGAGCTGGAGACACGTTACTCCGTGGAGAAGGAGAAGCAGAGTGGAGCGGCCTTCTGCTGCTCCTGTGTGGTGCTGCTCTTCACCGCAGCCATGGAGGCCCTCATTGACCCCTGGTCAGTTCACACACTCTCACAATGTGGCCATCATACTCAATATTAGACATCTTTCTAAAAAGCTAAATTAATCATACCTTCGCTCTCTCTCTTTGGAGTACCAGAGATACTTCTGAGATGTTTCAAGATGTGTCTGTGTGTTTGAAACAGGCTCATCGCAAACTACATCACCTTTGCAGTGGGAGAGGTGCTGCTGCTCATCCTGACCGTCTGCTCTCTGGCAGCAATCTTCCCTAGAGTGAGTTACAACGCAACTTACAACTTTTAGACTTGTCATGTTTTCACCACAGTAGCAGTAAACAGGTAGCAGATGTTGTGACTTCCTGCTGTGTCAGGAGGATCGTCTGATGGAGAACATATTTTGGGTTTCCTTCGGAGGGCCTGTTATGGGAATTCAACTATTCCGTTTTTTTAAAGTGGGAACATTGGTGTCAATGTCCTGTTCATTCTGGAGCTGCAGTCAGTAGAAAAGTAGTGAGGATGCTTCGATCGAAGGTCAAAAATACATCTAGCAACATCTGACCTACTGATGAACACGTGTCGGCAAACCTTTAAATGTGTCTGGAGCCGCAAAACATTCAATTCAATTTAACACCTTAAACAGTTTTATATATAGTTCTACTATACATAGAAAACCTATGGTTTGTTAATTAAAGTATAGAACTGTTACACTGGCATATGTAGGCCCACTTTGAATGAAAGTATGCCTTTCAATAACAATATATCAATATTGTTCCTGTTTCTTTCTCATCACAGATGATTGAGTATAATGCAGCTGAATAAATGTCCTCATTTTGTTTTCATTTGACCGTCTTTCCCGAGGGTGACATATCTATTATCTCTGAACAAGTTCACTTTTTCTCGCTCCTCAGCTTTCTGCAGCAGCTCCTAAATCCATCATTTTCTATTTGCTTTTATTTATAGAAATGTACATTTAGTGTACAAAAGGCAGGGGTCAGAAACTCCGGATTAGCGGCCTGCAGGTCATTTGCCGGGGCATAGCTGTAGTAGGATGTGATTCCGGTTGTATTAATTTCAGTGTCACATTTTCACCTATAACTGCAATAAGACATGTTCTTAACCAAATAACCACTGTGACATTTTTGTAATACATAGCTGTTTTGATTGTACAAAACATGGGCTAAAATCACAGTAATATCAATGTCCTCATCTCTCTAAGAGGAAGCAAAGCAAATTGGCATATTTCCGTTTTCCACATTTGGAATGGACAAGTGCTTTTGATCCTTCGTCATGGAAATACCGATGCATTGATTTCAGGAGGCGGCCGGTATCGAGTGCTGCTGTCAGCTCAGGTCATTCAGTGAGACAGTCATCAAATGGACAATGCAGAGTCATTGTAAAGAAGGCCCGGGGCTCTTCAGTACTGTTTATCAATACCACATCAAATATCACAATGTCATCACGCCACAGTGCACACACCACTGTCCATTAACAGTGGCACGTTTGTGTGAATGTGATCATCTTCTCTGCCACAGCAGAATCAATGTGTCTCACTTGACTTTTAGTGGTCGAAAGGCTAAAAAGTGCTATAAAAAAGTATATATTCACCATTTAAATATCAAACACCTGACCTTTTTATCAGTCCTCGTTCATGAGGCCAGTGGCTGACAGGAAGAATCTGTTCTTGTGGCGAGAAGTTTTCCTGATGAACCTCTTGGAGGAGAGTGGGAGTGAGAAAAAGTGCTTGAATCCCATCCCTATAAAGCTTGGAAATGGAATACAGCTTTAGAATGAAATGACTTGGTACTAAATGTAGTGCAGTGCGAGAGAAACTATGTGCTGATACATTCTTTATTGGAGTGCTGTTGGTTTCAGGTCTTTCCAAAAAAGCTGGTGTCTTTCTCCACCTGGATTGACCACACCCGCTGGGCTCGGAACACCTGGGCCATGGCGGCCATCTTCATCCTCACTATGGCCGACATCATGGACATGGTGAGCTGCTCTCTGCTGCCCCTCACAATCGAAGGAGGCAACACAGTGTGGGATTTGTATTTATTCCTTGAGTGTATTTTTGACATTAGTGAGCTGTATACTATTTAGTGAAGGTTACCCGTGCAGTTTGAGAAATGATCTTAATGATAGCACTGAGCTCATGACTTTCTGTCTCTCCACGATCCAGCTGAGTTGTCTNTCTCTTCTTACTTCTATAAGAATAAAACACGGAGGAGGGAGATCTCTTTTTCTCCCCGTCTTCTCCCCGCTGCAGCCTAGCAGCTGATCTCAGAGCACGCTCCCGCGTGCTCTGAGATCAGCTGCTAGGCTGCAGCGGGGAGAAGACGGGGAGAAAAAGAGATCTCCCTCCTCCGTGTTTTATTCTTATAGAAGTAAGAAGAGAAGTAATGGGGCAGAAACCCTCCTTTTTGCACAGCGGTCCAGACATAGACATCAAACGGCGACACATATTCAGTTGCCAGTTACTTTGGCTTTAGGGCAGGGATATCTAGATACTTTCCAAGGTTTGACATAATGAATTGTGCTACTTTTAAAGCAAGCAACGATGTTTTCAAATCTGTAATCAAAAAGCTCCTCAAAAATGCTATCGAAGCAGTTCCTGCTGTTGCTACGTAGTTCAAACACTAACAACGGACTATTTTTCTTAGCGGATGCATGTCAATTTAAATCAATACAACTTTTTTTAAATCAATAAAATCTTTTTCTAAATCCATAAAAGCATTTCAATTAATATTGGGAGTCATGTCGTTACTTTGTTGAGAATGTGGCCGTGTAATAAGCGGGATAATGTGCACATTGCACATTGCATAATGTGCCTTCATGCCGATCTAGATCCCTCCGCTTCGCGTCGGGCTCATGAACAGCCTGTCGGTGTGCAGCAATGGCCGGCCGTGGCCCAACCTCTCATTCCCCTGATAGGTGGAGAATTGACCAATAGCCGTAGCGCCACCGTCCTGACTTCAGGAGAGTGTTCAAATCTGGATCAGTCTGTATCAGATCCGTTGCAGCCCCTTTTTTAGAGATTTGGGTATGGAGGAAAATAGAGAGGGTTGTGTTTTCTGACACTTGGTGAATTCCCTGGAACACCGGGGACACATGTTCATGTATAAAAGACGTACAAAAGTGCATTTTGAATGATAGGTCACCTTTAAAGAACTCATTATACCCTACTGTCCTACTAGGGCATTGCGTTCCAAGAATGCAGGGTTGTTGGTTGTTCCTAGAGTCTCTAAAAGTACAATGGGAGCCAGAGCCTTTCTTATCAAGCTCCACATTTGTGGAATCAGCTTCCAGTTTGTGTTCGGGCGGCAGACAGCCTATCCGTTTTTAGAGTGCGCTTAAGACCTTCCTTTGATGCATAAAGGCTGTAATTAGTGATAAAATAAAATAATCTAATAAGACTGCATTGACGTAGGACACGTTGTGCCTCTTCCACCGTATACATTTTACTCTTACTCTTTCACTTAAATCCTAAAACTAGATTGGATATTAAAACTTACCAAATACTTTTCCCCTCTCTGACCTCTTCAGCGGTTTTTTCTATTAGAGCGTAACAGGCTTGCAGAGAGTGCCTAGCCCGGGCCCTGGAGTTGGAACGTAGCCACAGACCTACTCCCTTACCTCTAAACAATTCAGGCTTCCAATGGCGGACCTTCTCCCCGTGGCTGCATCTTCCACCTCTGTTTACTTCTTACTGCTACCCTTCTTTTCCCTCAACCGTATCCTAAGTGAGCTGCGTGTAGTAGACACGTTAGTTTACGGCTGCCCTATAGGCTTGACGTATTGGGGGGGGGTTGGGGGGGCCCACCTTACTCCCGTCTTTCGTCTGTTTGTACCGTGCTACTCTCATGTTCTGATAACCCAGTTTCCCCGGAGAGATCAATTTTTTGTGGTCCAGTATATACGGCCGGCGATCCTGGAGTCCTAGTCCTGATCTGGATCCTGGACTTCGAGTCGTGGGCTACCTTGTCTCTCCCGTCCGCCCTGACTCTCATCATACTACTCCTGATGGCTCCCACAAGATGCCTGACATCCTCAGGATTCATCTTCTTTATGTATATGACATCAGCATTTCCAAACATTTGTCTGTACCTCATCGTTTGTACAATGTATTATTCTCTTCGATTTACACACGGACACTCTATTGCACGTGGCTGTCCGTCCTTGGGAGAGGATCTCTCTCTGGATGCTCTCCCTGGAGGTTCTCCCATGTCCCTTTAAACTGGCGTTTTCTCTGGAAGTGTTTCCTTGACGATGTGGAGTGTCTAAGGACAGGAGGTGTTGTGTTTCATACTCGATATTCTCTACACACTGTGAAGCTCCACTTGAGACAAATGTTAACATTTGTGATAGCTGCTTAAATAAACAGTTGATTAATTGATTGACGAAGCGGCATAGAGCTTAACAGATGAAAGGCAAGGGAGAGATAAAGGTCAAAAAGGGATATAGGGAAGGTGGATGAAAGGGAAGTGGTGAATGTTGAATGAAGAAGCAGATGCTCCGATGTATGGATGCAAGGTAGTAGCAACGGAGGGCTGCAGGGATGGATAAAAGGAAAGGTTAGGGAGGGGGAGTATTAAAACTGAGGTGTACGGATGTTCTGGAGGCAATATTATGACGGGATGATCATGAATGTACAGATTAGAGACGAAGTATCATGCGTCGTTCAGAGAAGAATCAATGAAGGGATGCTAGGGACGGGGTGGAGGATGAATAGAAGAAGGAATTGAAGAATGTATGGATACCGATTTGATGCGAGGGGAGGGTATGATGATGTTTCCAATGGGTTTTAGAAAAAAAGCAATGAAGCAAGAAATGATATGAGCATAAGAGATTCAAGAGCTGCGACGTCTTAAAGGGGGAACAAGACGTAGGGAAGGAGGATGAGGTCGAAAGGGGAAGTTTGGGCGATGAAAGGGTCTTGGATAGGGTGGCAGGTTGGAATGACGGCGACGAAGGGATGAAGCCTTATAAAAGATGAAGGGGGATTGAAGGGATGAAGCGATGAAGCGGCCTGCCTCCTGGCGCGGAAAAAAATACCTTTGCGCTCTGCTTACAGTACCTCTTCATTCGTGCAGTGGGTCTATAGGTCGATGTAAGCGGATTGCGAGAGTGAGGAAGTTAGGGGAGGGACGCGATAAGGATTGTTGGGGCGGCGTAGGAAGTATCGCCTTATCTTGACAGGAATACCGCTGACCACTTTGAGTTTTTCGCACCAACCTTTGCACTGTTCCAGTGATACATGGCCCTGAACACTTCAGGAGTTATTGCGTGACCGAGGCGCAATCTCAATCAGAAATGGTGTT